GGGGTAAATGAAAATGAAATGAAAATGATAGTCGGTTACGGTTTTTCTTGCCCACTCCTTGAAAACAGGCCATGGATCAGGCTATCAAGCTTTTTTGAATCATGAAAGACCCACATCTTAACAGACTTCTTTTGCATTAGGTCTTGGATAGAGGCGAGAGGATTGAATTGCTAGTTGATAAATCAGAAAGCCTTCAGTTTCAGGTAAGCAGTATTATTAGTCTAGTGTGATAAAGCTCTCATGATTTTTCAGTGTTTAAGGTGACCCTCAAACGCAAATGGGCACAGGCAGATAGCTTCCAAAGGCAGGGACGGCAACTACGCCGGAAGATGTGGCTGCAGAGCCTTCAAATGAAGTTGATGGTCGGAGGAGCCGTTGCTGCTGTCATTATGATCATCTGGCTCATAGCTTGTGGAGGTTTTAAATGCTGAAGATCTTGAACATTCTTGTCCCTTGTTTTGGGGTACCTCTTCCCTATGAACTTGCTGTTTGGCTCTTGTTGGGTCCATGTTTCGCTGCTTGTACAAAAACCTTTAGCCGTTCTCTGGTAAATGCTCATCTTATACCCAACTGATAATCACGGAGCTTCTTTCACTCCGTATTGTTCGTATCATGCATCATATGTAATATTGTAGATGTTTTATTACCTCTAATGTGCCATATTATTATTAAAGGTGACCATAGTGATATGTTTATCTTCCCCATTCAGTTCAACTAATGGTAAATTCATCCGTTACCACCATTTCGAACCAATCAGCCCCCAAATGGTTCTTTTGACCGCTGTGCTATGTGAATTGTGAAGGGGTGGGGACGTGGGGTGGGAGAAAACGGTAAATACTTAACATTCTTTTCATTTGTCACATACTTCAATTATCTAAATATCTCATCTTCCTATACAAATCATACATTTTAAATTCCTACTTTCTTATCTTCTTCGTCTTTATCATAGTTATCTCCAATTCTCATCTTTGTAATGGAAGCAATGCTAACTCACTACGCCATTAATAAGAACATGGCAAACCACATGTTCTGTGCACAATATCTTCATTGCCGAAGATTTTCTATTTGGAGAAACAAGAAGGCATCTGTTATGCAATTGTGGTAAGCTAAGCCAACATTTTCATATGAAGCATTCAACATTTCAACTCTCAATCATGCCAATGATGAACAAATATTATGCTCGTATTAATTATTCTAAAATGCTGTGCACTGTTTGTATAAACAATGTGCATAATTAACTATTGTAACCACAATCTTCTATAAACAATAAAGACACCTCTTAATATGAGCCTAAATTAAACCGTGAAGGTAATGAGGAACAACTGAAGAAGTCAAGAATGGCAGTAGTGATGGGTAGATTTTTCATTAACAATGTGCATGTCATGTTATAAATTAATGTGTGCAAGATGATCTAAAAGCGTTAGGAGATTCTTTGGAGGTTGTGAAGGGGGGATTAGATGTATTTGGGGTAGTGGTCAATTTAGAAAAAAAATGGCATGATTATCTGATAGAAAGAGGTGAGAAATATGTGGCTTTTCCTAAAGATTTGTCTATTCGTTGGAATAGTACTTATAAGTTAATGATAGTTCTTCTTAGATATAAACAACATTTTTCTATTTTTTAAAACATTATGATAACTATATTATAAACTTGGTTGAGATCGACCCCTTCGAAAAAATTGTAATGCTTTGGTATATTTTTATAATGCAACTGAAACTTTTAATCATGTTTATAAACCTACCTCAAACCAATTTATTCGTGAAGTTGTTAATCTCGCCGGTGCTTTTGCAACTTTTGAGGATGTCGATTATGTGAGTTATTTTGTTGATTTCATGAAGGAAAAGTTTTTAAAATATTATGCACATATTTCGCATATTTATGGTATTGCATTTGTTCTCGATCCTCGTTTTAGATTGGTTCTTTAGAAGAATGTTTGAATTATAATTATCAAGCTTTTTATGGTCCTTTGCCAATGTATGACGAGAACTTAATTGATCCGAAAAAAGAATACTACGAGGATAGTGATATATTTTATGCATTATTTAACGAGTTTCATGCATAATATGGCAACGTGCTACGTGCCACTTCCCCTGACACAAACATTTTCATCTAAAGGAAAATCAATTTTGAAATCTACATTTGCCAATCTTTTTAAAAAAACTAAAACAACCCCTGCTACTTAACAAAGCACAATTAATGAAATTATCAAAAGTAAATAGTCATTACTTTAGTAAGCAAGTGTTTTTTGACCAATTTAAATGAGCTATTTCTTCAATTTCATGCGTAAAAATGGCACATATACCCAAATTTTTTATTTTTTGATTTCATCTTTTCTCCTTTATCCTTATACTCCCTCCTTCCCTTAAAGGTTTGCCAAGTTTGATCAGCTCGTAGAATAATAAAATAAAAACTGTATGGTAGATATTTGTGCAGAGGAGAGAGAAATAAAAGGAGCCATAAATTGATTGATTAAAAGAGAAAATGATAAAGTTTTTGGAACAAAAAAGGAAAGTTGGCAAAGTTATAAGGGACGAAGGGAGTATTTGTTTTCTTTACTTTCGCACTTTAATATGTGTGTCACTTTATCATATTGGAAAAATACAGGGATTGAGGCAGCAATTCTAACGCGACTGCCCTTATGGTCATTTACACCCAATCACATTCATGATAGATGCAAATATTTTGGTTTTTTGACCATAAATGTAAATGTAGCATAATTTGAGCTAGTTGTCAACCCATCACAATTTTCCTTCTTTATCCTGCTTGGGACCGTCTATGAATGACAAATCACTCACTCAACAACACAAGTAGAAAAAGAAACGATGATAGTACAAAGAAATTGTTTGACGTAATATTAGAAAACGTTTTAATGTAGACTGCCTTTTATATGTATTTTCCGATGCATTTATCTTCCAAAAATCATTTGACTACCTTCTCGATTGAGTTTTTGGCTGAATTTTTGTGTAGATAAACTAGACTTGATGTAGAACATGAAATAAAAATTTCATCAAAAAAATCCACCGAGAAGAGCCCCAAAAGCCATCGGCCGGATAGCGGTTCCGGTCAGGAAGGCCTGACCGGAAGATTATTCACACACACACACACACACACACACACACACACACATATATATATATATATGTATATATATATATATAAAGAGAGAGAGAGAGAGAGAGAGAGAGAGAGAGAGAGAGAGTCCAGTGAGAAGTGCTCTTAGGCTAAAAATTGCGAAGTTAAACTTATAGACTGAATATATGAACTTTTAACCAATAAATCATAACTTATAGACCCCTAAAAAATAATTACGAAAATGCCACCTCTAATTCGGTAGAATTATAAAAACACTTTAATTTATAAAAGCCATCTCTAATCTTAGTAACATGACAAAGAATTAGAGAAAACCCTATTATCCGGGGTTGTTTTGTGTCAAGCGGATGTGGTTATCACCAGTGGTGGACTAAAATGAAAACCAACATAAATTTCAGGGATGAAAAAAAAAATTTGCAATGGCGTAAAACAAAATGTACTATATTTGCAGGGACTGAATACATATTTAAACCAATAAATAATTGCACTTTTTGTCTCAAACACGTGAAGTTAAAGCTAATTTCTTTCTCAAAAATTACTTTTATTAGTGATAAAAGTAATAATAGATAAAAGTCAATTGAAAGAAAACAAATTGCTCAAACTAGAAAGGAAACGAATTAAACCACGAATCTCGGTTTCACTGGCCACCAGAAAGAGAAAATTGATTTGATTAACAACCAATAAAGGAAATTCAGTCGAGCAGATTTTTTTTTGAATTATCGGTTTACCAGCCACCAAAAAGGAGATTCACTTGAACGTTTTCTTCTTCCCAGAGCGAGATAGTGGTGCAGGATGAGGACGAGAATTGAAACCTCATACAACAAGGTTGAAAAAGCTTTGTCAACATGAACAATGAAAATTCACCTGATCGATTACACCGATGAAAAACACACAATCTCTAGACATTGATATGAGAATAACACATCACACGCTCACCTGAAGAGGACAAAATTCTCGGCCAACGAAGAAGCTGGACCAAAACCCTCGAAAGTAGAAATAAAAAAAGAGCGAAAGCATATAAAATCCTTGATGATGTGATCCTTCGGTGCTCATTGAATATCACCATCTTCCAAGACTCTTGTTGATTGAAAAAGAGAAGGTCAGAAGATCTGATTTTGAAGGAGGTCGTAGATGGTCACCTAAAATTTCGTGTAGGGCCAAAAATTTCGTGTAGGGCCGACGGCTGAGCTAGTTAATTATCAAGTAAAATCATTTTGACCAGGACTTCAAAATGGTACCATTACGAAACAATTAAGAGCTCATGAGCTCATTGGTGATCATATTTTTTGACTTATCGGTCAGTTTTTCATCAAACATGTAATTTATGATTTCACGCGTTGAATTCTATAATAATCAAAATAAGTAAGTTCGGAGTTACTTTTGAAGTTGATTTGGGTTAAGCTAGTGTAAATGATCATTTTAGTTTTTTTTTTTCATTTTTTCTCTTTATTTCATTAATAAAATATATTTTAATTATAATCTTTTCATAAATGAATTTTATCAGTCTAGGACCTGAAAGATATATGGATTATCAATTCAGGATCTGAAAGATGAAGTAATGTGTCAGCATAAGGCCTGAATGATTGAAAACTGTCAATCTACGACCTAAAACATCATAAGTTTCGATTTATTTAATTTTCTATTAATTTCATTGCTAATTTTTGATGAGCTTTCATTCACATAAGTCATTAGTTTAATATAATTAAACAATATTTTAAAATTTAAAAAATGATAAAATTCATTTTTAAGGTTGATGCAGTCAACAACAGGGCAAAAGGCTACTGAATAATGATATATTAGGAAAGTTAAAACGATTTAATTAATTGATTATTCCTGGTTGGTTTGGAAACCAAAACCATACTATATATATAGAACCCTAGAAAGTAAAATGACACTTAAAATAGAAAAAATATTAATTGAAGAATATTTACAACCTTATTTTATACTTTTACCATCATGGATTACAATAAAAATCTATTTATAGTTAATATTTTATAACTTATTCCTCAGTTCCCATATAAATCCACCTCTTTCCGAAATTCCCATCATATAAACTTGCTTCTCTATATTTTTAATTGTTGTTAAATCTTTCTATCTCAGCATTTCCCTCTGTTATAGTAGTACTATGTCGATAGAACAATAATAACATACGTAGCATATAATAATATACAGTAATATATACTCTGTAAATGTCTTCTCCTGAATCCCATAATAATTTCTGTGAAGCTGATGAAGCTGACAAAGATGATCAGCAAGAAAGCCATGGGTCACGACATGATGATGGCTTGACTGATTCTAACGGGGAAGGCTACTTTGACCTGCCACCGGAATCTTTTTGTATCCCGGTGGTTTCCGAGAAAGACTGGTTGTACCAAAATGCAACCGTGCTCCGGAAAACCTCCCGGAAGTTGGTGTTTCCCCGTGACTCTGGTCACGGCGTGAAGTGCTCTCGGGCGTCGTTGAACCGGATGCATAGTCTATCACGCATTGCTTTTCCAGCTACTCAGAAGTCCAGAGTGGCCGACGGAAACCACCGGAGTAATGGGGTGAGCCTGTTCAGAAGCCAGTCTGAACCGGTTTGGAATTTAGCCATGCAGCAGCAGCCTGAACCAGCTTCTCCCCATGTTACTTGTATGGGAAGGGTCCGGTCGAGGAAGGGAGGAGTCGGGAGAACCGGGATAGTTAAATGGTGCAAGACAGTTCTAAGAAACCGATTTGGAAGAAGCCGGGATTCGAGCTAATTTGCGTGTTCTAGTTGCACATCATCGGGTTCAATGGTGTGATGTATAAAACCGGTTTGGAAGAAGCCCAGGTTTGAGCTAATTACAAAGTTCCAGTTGCACATCATCTGGTTCAATGGGTCTAATCTAATGTATAACCCGGTCGTGAATAAACTCCGACCAGTCTCGGCCAGGTTGCAAATCCATAGGAGTCTTTTTTATTGCATATGTTTGTTTCTATATAAAAAGTATGTAATAAAATATGAGGATTAATTAGTTATTCGTTCATTAATCACTTTTGTGTGAGCATTCAATAGTAATCTAATCACTTTATACACTTCAGTTCGATATTTTTTCCTCCTAAAATTACAAATTACAAAAATGTGGACACAACTATAATGTGCATACACATGTATTTACAAGAAATATTTCTGTTAATGGGTTATTTTTACTTCAATATTTGTAATTTAAAAAGAAAAAAACTGTAACCGGTGGACGTAGCTCAACTGCTAGCAAGGGAGTGTCACAAGGGTTAGATCCCAGATTCACAACTGTGATGAGAGGTTACTATGCTAAAAATGCATAGGGTTTCTGCAAATATCGGGGACAAAGCCCATTCTCTATCTGTCAGATTGTGATTATAGTCCAATTTACATCCTCCCAACGTACCGTCCGGTCGGAGTTGGAGGCCCTCAGGTATGGGGTGTCATCCTTTTTTTAAAAAAGAAAAAACCGTAATAAATCCTTCTTTTTTTTGAACGACCGTAATAAAACACATGAATTTTCAGTATCATTTTCAGCTAAAGCTGCGGGCCACCCAGAAGAAGCAAAGAGCTGGACTGACCAGACCCTTCTAGAACTATGCTGAGATTTTCGAACCCTCCCACAGGTCATCCATTCCAGTTATTGACCTTTCTGCTCTCGAGGAGGGACTAGGGAGCAGGAGCATTGCTGGAAGACTTCCGGAGCTCCAGAACTGATTATTCCAATATTTTTTGCGGGTTTACTGGTGAGGGTGATGAGGATATAGCTTAGGCTTAGGAGGATGTGGTTGCTATAAGAGTAAAGTAACGGTCTTCTAGTTGAGCTTGGTGACTTCTTATTTTGAGAAGGGAAGGGACTGACTATTTAAAAATGAAAAAATTGAAAAGAAAAAGAAAATAACAAGGTCCCATGGTCAGTCACACAACTCAAGTAATCAGGAAACAAAATTGCTGACTGTCTAAATTTCTTGATTGAATGTTCTTTACAACTTTGAGGGTTTGATTGGGTGATTTTGTAGTATCAGAGTTTAGTTGTACTTTCAATACATAAGGGGGGTTATTTAGTAGTTTTCAATCTTTTCATCAAAACTAGTCATTCAACTACCCATTAAGATTATTATAGAAAAATCTCAATAGGAAAACTGATTACCTGGTGCTACACACAAGTGAAAAAACTACTATTCATAAAAAGGCCATATGGGTCAAGGAATACTAGTGTCCAGTGGGATATAGAGACAGGCTCGATCTTGGCATTGCACTCTAAGGTCACTGGATTACACTTGCATAGTTGGGACATGAACAATATACCCAACACTGGTACCCAAATATCTTGGACTGTGAAAGCAGCGAACAATCATTTCTGGGGATGTATAAAAGACGGCTCTTTTTTCCTGCAAAACATGTAACTGATTTTCATTAGTGAAGAATTCAGAACTCTAGACTTGTATAAGCATATTATTTCTCTGCCATGTACAAACATTGAATATTATTAATACCTACAATGCACACTTTATTTCTTTGAATTCCTATATATTTGCTTCCGCTAACCAGCAGTTCATGGGAATGTGCCACTTGCCAGTCTTCTGTTCTTCCTATCAGCCTCTGAATATTTAACAGCATAAAAAGAACTGTTATTATTGTTGTAATAATTCTAAAGATTATGGCTTGAGAGGAAATGCTAGATGTATCTCTATCCTGAGAAGTTTAAAACATAACAAAATCTAAAAATACAATGAGGTGTAGCTACACATAGGACATTTCTTTTAGATACATGGAAAATAACTCAGAATAATTGAATAAATATTGAATAGGGCATTAGTTTTTTTAAAATACCAAAAACGCTTTAGTTTGAACGAAAATAACTAGTGAAATGTTAGTTCAGAAACACTGGAAACTACTCACCTTTGCAATTGGTCATGTTGACCGAGACCGAAAGCTTTTATTGAGCCACATCAGCTTGAGCTTCGTGAGTGAAGCAAAGTACTCCCCCAACTTCTGAATGGTTTAAACCGATCTGAACCCAAAACTGTTCCAAGAATTTCAGTTCCAGATTAAATGTTGTTTCAATTTCAATTTGGAGTTTTCTTTAACACCGATTTATCGATTCGGTTTTCAGTTTGGTTTGAACCCTACTTCCAATTAGTGTCTGCAAGCATTTTGGGAGTAGACTAGCTGCCTAGCTGGAGCCCAACGTTGTTACCAAATGTTGGGGAAACGTGATGGTATAGCCAAATGTGCAGGCATCCATTCCACATGTAATACTTGTATGGCATAGTCAAATGTGCAGGCATCCATTCTACATGTAGTAATTGCAACAAAGCTGCCAATTAGATAATTAAGGATGGATAGAATTCACCATACTGTACGCTGATTGTTTCTTCACACTATTTCTATCCCTTCTTATCCTAATTTCATTTGCTTCATCCAATCTTCCAGCTTCAATATACATGCTATATAGCAGTAAGTAAGGGCCAGAGCTCTCTGGTTCAAGCTCCATTAACACTTCAGCTGCTGCTTTTGCATACTCAAGATGATTATGCACTCTGCAAGCACCTAATAATGCTCCCCACACAACCTTATCTGGCTCAATCGGCATATTCTTTATTATTCCCATGGCTTCCTCAATTCGACCATCACGGGCTACGATATCCACTAGAGACGCAAAATGCTCCAACCTTGGTTCAATACCAAATTCATAGACCATGGATTTGAACTGGAAACGGCCTTCTTCCACCAGACCTGCATGAGCACATAAAGAAAGAACTGCAATAAATGTAATATAAGTTGGTTTCACATTAAGCTCCTTCATTGTGTTAAAAAGCTCAAATGCTTCTCTTGCCAAGCCATGTGCTGCATACCCTCCAATCATAGCATTCCAAGATATTACATCTTTGCGAAACTTCATTTTGTCAAAAATGGACCTTGCTTCCACTATAGCCCCACATTTGGCATACATAGTAATGAGGGAGTTGTTTAGGGGTACATCAGGTAGAACACTTTTTGTCACCAACTGATGAATCTGCATACCAAGATGTAGATCTATAGTTTCTGCACACACACCTAGAAGTGAAGAAAATGTGTGCTTATCAGGTTTCACTCTTTCCAGTTGCATCTGAACGAAAAGTCTTATAGCGCCTTCATAGTCTGCATTTTTCTCATATCCTGCTATAATAGAGTTCCAGGAGACACATGTTTTCTTGGGTATCCTTTGGAAATATTTATAAGCAAGTCCCAAGTTGCCTCCTTGTGCATATCCTGAGACTATTAAATTCCATGAATATAAATCTGGATTTGGCATTTTAGTGAGTAGCTTTGAAGCTTCTTTCATATTTGAGGTGTGGACATAAGCACTAATCATCGTGTTCCAGGAAAAAGTGTCCTTTTCCACCATTAGATTAAAAAGCTTCCTAGCAGACTTTATGTACCCAGCCTTTACATAGCACATGATCATTGAATTCCACGATACTGTGTTTCTTCCAAACCTTCTACCCTTGCAAGTATAAAATGGTATTTGATCAAAAAGGCGCCTAGCTTCTTTGATCATGCCCTTCTGACCATACCCAACAATCAAGGTGTTATAAGCATAAACCAGATCAATGCTTGTATCACCACTTTTCTGAAAATCGTACAGTACATTTGCAGCAGCATCCAGTTTCCCGTTCTGAATCAATCCTGAAACAAGTACACTGAAAGAAGCTGCATCTCTTTCTGGCATTCTCTTGAAAAGTTCAATAGCAGCTCTCACATCACCGTTCTGCAAAAGTCCGGAAATAGCTGCATTCCAAGACACCACATTCTTCTCAGGCATACAATAAAAAAGCCTCAATGCTTCATCTATTTGCCCAATCTTGGCATAACCACTTATCATCGTATTCCAGGAAATGACATCTCTCCTGGGCATTTGATCAAACAAGTATCTTGCATATTCTATGTATTCAGTCACCCGGCTAGACATGTAGCACGAAATCATCAAATTCCATGTGACAACGTCTCTTTCAGGCATTTGATCAAACAAGTTCTGCGCAGTCACTACTTCCAAGCGTTGCGTGTAACCCGTGATCATAGAATTCCACGTTATAATGTCTCTCTGCTTTAATTTATCGAACATGTTTCGTGCATCTTCAAGCCTGCCGCTTCGGATCAAAGCCCTGATTGTGTTGTTCGTTAACTGGAGTTCCCACTTGGGCCGAGAAACCATGGGCATGGCGGTCGAGAAGTGATTTATCAGTTGGCGTGTTTCATTCTGGCAGTTGTATTGCTGGCATTTTCTTAAACTTCTTATGTTTCTAGGGCTAACCACCATTGCTGCGATTAGAAATGTTACTGGGAAAGAATTTATAAACGAAAGTTCATGGGATTGGAACAATAAACAAAAATAAAAGTATGGGGCTTTCCCCGTAACCATACAAAAAGGAAGGTATAAAATTTAGTCCCAGACCATAACATTATTGAATTATATATATGTGATCTATAAGTGTACAATCTTTTTTCATATCTAATCGGTGTTGAACACTATTAATACGGACTAGTACAGTATCCGCGTATCCGCACGGGTTGTAACGGTTTTGTATGTAAATTATAATTGATTGTAAATTAGTCTTTTCATGTATAAAACAAATTCTTTCAAAGTTTAAAACAAAAAATACGCTGAAAATTACTACTATCCTCCGTATCTCATTAATTGCAACATTGGAATATATACACTATTCATGTACTTTACTTTGACTACATTTTTATTTATTAATGTATGTAAATTATTTTTTTGAAAAATGTTGTTAAATTCATCTCATTACTAATACAGAATTAAATATAATGACGGTCAAAGTTGTGCGTTGGCAAACGTGAAATGTTGATTGTTGCAACTAAAAAGAGACGGAAGAAGTATATAAATGTGAAGGTATAACAGGGTTTGGATTGACGACGCTGTACAATTGTGAAGAGGACAATCTAGATTGAGATCACCTAACAAAATAATATTTGATTCACAATTTTAGTGATAAATTAAACTTGGTGTTCAATATACAATAATTCATAGAGTAAACTAAAGAAGTAATTTTATTGCATTAGTAAGATGCTATGATTAACAACAGATGTGATGAATCCATTTCATAATACTTAATCACTTAAAAGGAAGTATTACGGCAACCATAGTAGCAGCACCCTATTTAATTTTGAAAAGCATGGTTAACTATTACTACATACTCCCCGGTCCCCCTATAATTGTCCCATTTTTCCATTTTTGGATGTCCCTTTATTATTGTCACATATCATATTTGGTAACATTTGTGTGACTCTAATTTATTCTTACTTTATTTCCATTTTATCAACTCATTATCAACCACATAATTCTATTTTTCTTAAAAATCACATCACTCCCTTTCGTACCAATATTAGGGGGATGGAGGGAGTATATTTTATGGTAAGAGGGTTAAACTCCTTTATTTTACCTCTTACTTTATACTGCCACCGTCCGAAAAAAGTCTATCATTTAATAAAATTTGGACAATGATTTTGATTAATATACTTTTATGAAAGTACTTTTAACAAAGAACACTTTCATATCAAATTTATATTATAAATAACTTCCAATAAAATATATAGTAAGAAAGTGTTAGACTCATTTTATTACATTTATACTCTCCACCCCTCTCAATGTGTTGTTAGTGTCGACTGTCCTGATTTGCTTTCATTTCATCATGATTTCTTTTGCGTTCAAAGTGTTAGACTCATTTTATTACATTTATATACATAATGCACTTTCACATTAGTGTAATGGAAAAGTGATGGATATGTAGACTTCTCCATGTCTCATACTATTGCACATCTACTTAACACAGCAACCACAAAATGCCAAACAATTCCAGAGATTAAATGATAATCAAGCGTGTTATAAAAATTTGGTTCTATATGTAGTTTCATATTCCTCATTATTGCAGATAATTTTTGGTTTCTAAAGCAGCTTGTTTATCCTTTTTACATACTTAGTATGTTTTTTTGTGTTCAAATTGTCAAGGAAAGTAAATTGTCAACAGACTATTTTTTGTTTTAACTGCATTTGCTTTGAAAACCTAAACAATCAACATGGAATTACAAATAAATGATAACAGCTCAAATATCCTTCTTATCTTCAGTTTTTGTAAATTCCAAGACTAATTCATGGTTACAATTTAGTTAGAGTAATCAGCGTTCCTAAAAAAAGCAAGTGAAAGAAACAGAAACAAAAGGCATTATACTTTTGGGAAGAGTAACTGCTCATCAGTGTCACCCTTGATGGCGATGGCTTTGATGAAGTTGTACGTCTAATGAAGGACCAGGCTTTGACGTCGGTCTGAACATGAAGACGACACTGATGAGCCGTCTGAAAATGAAGGACGGCGTTGGACGCTCGTCTTTTGACGACGCTGACGTTTGATGAAGTCGTGCATCAAGTGAAGGACCAAGCTTTGACGCGGTCCTGAAGATGAAGGACGGCGTTGGACGCACGTCCATTGATGAAGATGGCATTGATGAAGCCATACGTCATATGAAGGACCAGGTTTTTGCCCCTGGCTTAAAGTTGAAGGGCGTTGGGAATGCACGTCTGATCCGCATGTATGGTATTACTTCGTCCACAATGCGTAGTGTTTGCCTGATATGTACTTAGCCAAATATGTGGCTTGATTTGTGGGGATTTTATTTTTATTGCTCGAGGCCGGCGAGTGCGCGGTCCTTCGGTTGTCCCTCTTTTATTTGTGGGGATTTCGCTCGAGGCCAGCGAGTGTGCGGTCCTTCGACTGTCCCTCTTTTACTTGTGGGGATTTCGCCTAGGCCGGTGAGTGCACGGTCCTTCGGTTGTCCCTCTTTTATTTGTGGGGATTTCGCAGAGGCCGACGAGTGCACGGTCCTTCGGTTGTCCCTCTTTTATTTGTGGGGATTTCGCCGAGGCTGGCGAGTGCACGGTCCTCTGGCTTTCCCTCTTTTATTTCTTCCTCTACTGCTTTGAGCGAGGAGTGGGGATCCTTCTTTCAGGCTCAACCGAGGGGGTTGCTATTCCCTCGGCCGATAGGGAGTCCAGGAGGGCAGCTGTTCGGCCTCTGGCGCTAGATCATCCCTTGATCTTGGGGGGTCCCGTCGTCTATTTACGACGCGGGCTAGGCTTTTGGTTGGTTACCGATGGTTGTCATTTCCCAACCCCAAGTGTGTGGATTTTGTCACCTCGGCCATGCTTTCAGGTCTGTCGTCCTGCGATTTAACGCGAGGACGACGCAGTGAGCTTCCCATTTCAAGACGTGGGCCGTTTGCGGGCCCCTCATCCTGGGACATCATCGGCCATACCTGAGCATTTCGCTCCAAGGGGCCGGAACGAAGTTCTTTGTTGTGTGGCGTCGTCAGCCATACCTGAGCGTTTCGCTCAAAGGGACCGATGTGACGTGCTTTGTTGTGTGGCATCCTTTACTTAAACTTTACAAGAAATAAGCGGAACACAATAGGCGTGTTGTTCATGGCAACGACTTTTATTAAGGTCAGTGGCTCGAGGTCGATGGTGGTAACCTTATCAACAACCCATACATGAGTTAGCTTCTCAATCAGCTTCTGACCTTGGGGTGGGGGCTCTGCCATCTGCACCCTCTTCAGATTGCTGATAGAACTTCACCGAGATGTAGGGCCCTTCGTATTTTGAGGGATAAGCCGTCTGTCGGCTTGCTGGTTCAGCCGTCCGTCGGCTTGCTGGCTCAGCCGTTCGTCGGCTTGCTGGTAGGACTTCACCATGGAGGCCCAACCGTCAGCCGTGCGTCCCTTCGGGGAAGGACAGTCAGCGGATGTGACACTTCTTCGGCTAGGGCTCCTCTAAGTCCTCGTCGTCGCTGAGCCACCCAATTTCAGGCTTCTTCTTCGAGGTGTCCCCTTCCTGATTGCCGGTGGAGTTCCTCGGGGCACCTTTGACACATTGGTGGAGTTCACCCCATTGAATCAAGCGCTCAATGGCTTTCTTAACCGCGACGCAGTCGTCTCTATTGTGGGAGGTGTTCTTGTGGTAACAGCAATAAGTGCCGCCTTGGTGGACAGCGTAGATTTCCTTGGCCGACCGGGGATCTCTGGGGATGAGACCTTTCTCCTCCACATAGTCTAGGATGGTATCCACCGAGTGCGTGAGTGGAGTCCTTGGGGCGTCCGTCCTCGGCTGCCATGGGCGCTCCTTTGGGCTCTGACGGGTAAGGCCTCCGTCCGAGGATGCGCTTGGAGCCGACACATTGTTTGTCTTCTTTGATGGCTTGCCTCCATCCTTCTTGCGGGAGTGGAGCTCATCGGCGTCAGCATACAAGCTCCCTCGCTGGAGTGCCTTGGTGTATGACCTCGGCGGGTCAGTGATGAGGCTCCTCGCGTAGGGGCTGCTGCGGAGAACGCCTTGGAAGAGGACGAGGAGGGTGCGCTCATCGGCACCTTCGACCTCGTCTGTCTCCTTCGTCCATCAGTCGATGAAAGACCGAAGTGATTCGTCGTGTTGCTGTTTGATGGAGAGGAGATGGGAGAAATGTTTCTTCATCTGCTTCCTTCCGGCGAAGTGGGTGTGGAAGCGTTGGGCAAGATCTTGCCATGAGTCCACGCTTCCTTCGAGCAGCGCGTTGAACCACTCGTACGCTAGTCCCTCAAGAGTGGAAAGGAACCAACATCAGAGGTATTCATTAGACGCATTTACCATCAACATGTTGTTCTGATAGCGGCTGAATTGCTCTTAGGGATCGGTGCGGCCATCATAACGCTTGATGGCACTCCCCCGTACTTCTCGAGTATTGGGGCCGAGAGCACCCTTGTGGTGAAGGGAGTTTTTGTTCTGATTTGGATGACGGGGTCACCACGTCCGTTGGCTAGCTCCCGCTCTAGGGCGTTGACCTTGTGCAAGAGGTCGTTGAAGCCGGGGTCCCTGGACGCAGCGGTCGTACGTGCCTCGGCCATTTGCTTCGCTTCCATCTGAGCGAGCCTCCTTTCAAGCTGGGTGATGACTTCGTCCCGAGGGTCTTTGGAGGCCGTAGTGGCGATGTGCGTGCCCACGCGGGCTGCTTCGACCGTGCTGATGTGGCAACGTGCGTCGTTCTCATGTAGTTTCCCATTCCCCTTGTCAAGGCGGGTCTGAGCCGCTATCCGGCATACGGACCCCAAGCTCTACCTTGGTGAGCCAGGCTCAGCTCACCAATCCGTCCCGCTAGCCTCTCCGATGCTGGCCGACGATGTACGTCACCTAGCCTATTGAAGGCCGAGGCTCTACGCAAAAGGGTCGGTCCAGGTCGACGAGGGGAAGCAGGATCGGAAAGGGATGTCGTGTCCTGGGCCATCACTCCCTCATCGTTGCTGATGTTCGTGACCAACGGCTGAGGCGGTGGTGGTGTAGTGTTCTCCCCCGTCCTTGGCATCAGTGCGCTGAGGACGGTGGGGTTCCGAGCCAGGCTGGCTATGATGGCTGATAGAGCAGCCTGAAGCTGA